TTCCTGTTCTGTTGCAGCTGGTCTCCAGTGGAAGGCACCAGAGACATCTGCAGGTGCTGTGAGACTGGGAACTGTGGGCTGGCTGGACAGTCTGGGAGAGTCAGACCTCTGGACAGATGGCCAGGGAGGCGCTTCCTGAGAGATGTGGCCTCCAGGCATGGTAGGATCTATTTAACTGTAGTTAATAGGTGCCTATGTGTGGTGTTTAGGTCTTTCCCAATAAAAAGGGGCTTCTGCTAGCTGAGCTGAAGGTCCATGGGTTGTCTTTATCCACATTGTGAGAATGAAAAGCCACACAGATGTAATTTTCTTTCCTCAATACAGGTGACTCCTCAGTGAGGGAAGCTGAGGCTGATGTTGTGGTAGGACCCCTATTCATCACTTATGCCTATCAGGGATCCAGGAATCTTGTGGAAGAACAAATGGAAGTAGGGAAGGCAGCATCACCAGGTACCTAACTTGTACAGCAATAGTCTATGCACCTTCAGGGCATTGGGCCTGTTGTAAAAAGGTGAAAACTCTCTCCAACCACAAGGCTCAGCCCTGCAACCCACCTCTTCAAGGGAACACCGAGTAAACAGATTTGCCAGGACAAACCTATAGGCCTGCCAAACCAGTTGGGAGGACAGGAAAGGAGCTAACCAAAATCCAGGGGAGTTCTCCACCCTCCACTCCTGACTCCACCCCCAGCTGGGTTGAACCACTAAATTGGTCAAGACCAATTTATAATCTGGGTGGCTTGTAGGAGACAGGTACTTCCTGCTAAACTCCAGGAAGTTATGACACCACATAACCAATACAGTGACCTTAACAGAGGGCTAGAATTAGGAGGGAACATGTTAATCCTATGACCCTATTATAATTTTCCAAGGTGGGAATCTGATCCATGTCTTGGATGTCAATACACAAATACAAGGAGTAGGAGGAATAAACAGAACTGGTAGCATAAGTACATAAACTAAACCATGATTTAATTGTCACAGACTTGATGGGATAAATCTCATGATGGGAACAGAGCTATATCCCTCTATAGCTATTTCAGGAAGGACAGGATTAAAAAAGGAGACATTGTCTATTGATGTACATGTGTCCTAAGATCCAGAAGGAGATGAGGCAGATCAGTTTAAAGTCTCTGCTAAAGATCATATCATATGGGGCTGGGGGGGGGTCTATTGTAGACCCCTAAATCAGGAAGAGGTGGATGAGGCATTTCTAGGACATATAGAAATATCAAAACATAACCCCTGGTGGCGATGGGGGGACTTTTCTAAGATGTATTGGACTACCCAGACAGCAAAACCTAATTCTTCCAACAAGTTCTTGGAATGCAGTGGGGACAACTCTTCTGTTTTGGGAAGTAGAGGAAGTAACTGGGGGAGAGCCATCTGAGACTTGATCCTGACCAACAGGGAGGCATTAGTAACACGTCAGAAGGTGGAAGGCAATTGGGGTGGAAGTGATCATGCAATGATCTTTTGCAATCCTAAGGCAAGAGCAGTAAAATCAAGACAATGGACTTCAAAAAAGCAGACTTTAACAGATGGGTAGGGAAAGGTCCCAAGGGAAGAAAATTTAAGGGGAAAAGTAATTCAGGTGAGCTAGATATTTATCAAGGAGAAATATTACAAGCACAACTGCAAACTATCCCAATTTAAAGGAAAGATAGAGTAAGGCCAAGATGGCTCCATCAAGAGCTCTTCAATTACCTGAATTAAAAATGCTGAGTACAAAAGAATAACACAAGCATGTAGGGACAAAATCAGACTGTCACAATGAGTTACACCTACCAAGGGACATAAAAGGCAATAAGCAGTTCTGCAAATACACTAGGAGCAAGAGACTAAGGAAAGGACCTACCCTTTCCTTAGTGGGGAGGAGATCAATAATGGATGACCTCAAGAAGGCTGAGGTGTCTAGTGCCTACTTTGCTTCAGTCACCATTTAAAATAGTTAACAGTGACCAGATACTCAACACAACTATTAAGGTGGAAGGAACACAAGCCAAAGTAGTTAAAGAACAGAATAAAGAGCATTTAGATGTATTCCAGTTGGGAGGGCCTCGTATCATCCTAAGGAACTAGCTGAAGCAATCTCTGAACTGTCAGTGATAATCTCCTGAAAACACAGAGGAGTGAGGTCCCAGAGGACTAGAGAGGTGCAAACGTAGTACCTAGCTTTAAAAAGCAGAACAGAATGCCTGGGAAATCAGACCAGTCAGTCTCACTTTGTTTGATACCTTTCCAGGTAACAATCAGTTTGTAAGCACCTAGAAGACAATAGGGTTATAGGGAGTAGGCAGCACAAATTTATCAAGAACAAATCATGTCAAACCAATAACAGTCAAAAAAAGGAAATTACTGGTCTAGTGGTGCCAGAGGTGCAGGAAGCAGACATGTTGGGAGTGGATACACTCTTTAGTAATCCTTTGACAGGTCCAATGAGTCTCATAAGTAAACTAAGGAAATGCATGTAGATGAAACTACTATAACTGGGTTCACAACTGGTTGAAAGATGGTACTCAGAGTAATTATCTACGGTCTGCTGTGAGACTGAGGGTGTATTTAGGGGGTCAGTCCCTGGGTCTGGTACTAGTCAATATTTTCATTCTCACTTTAGATGAGTATATGTATTCATTTATAAAATTTGTGGCTGACACCTTGAAACTCCTCCAGAGTGCAAGCTGAGAGGATAGGATAAGAATTCAAAATTGATTGGAGAACTCAAGATGAAGGTCAATAAAGAAGTGCTAAGCACTACACTTAAGAAGGAAAAATCAAATGCCTGACTACAAAAGAAGGGGAATAACTGGCTTGCTTATGAATGATGCAAACACCCACCAATATTGACTTCACTAAAGCTGGAAAAAATCTAGTTCCCATTGTAACCACAGATCTTTCCTACAGGCATGGAAGAGACTCCTGGGCTGGTGTTTGGGCTGAGCTTGGTGGCTGCTGCTATTGGTTTGGGCTCCATGACTCTGACCATCTGCTTCATCTACAAAAACCACAGCCGTGCAATGGCTGGTGCTGTCATGTGACTTGTACCTTGTCATATAAAATAAATCCATAAATGGACTTGAGTCTGGTCAGTGCTGACTTCTTAATGGGTGAGTGATGCTGTCTATTCTGTAGGGGTAACTCAACCAGCTGGTCCTCTCATGAACTGAGACTGCAGTGCTTGTGAATAGTCAGTGGGGGTTGAGTGCGGAGTTAGCCTCTCCTGGCAATGGAGTTGAAGGACATAAATTCACACTGTGGAGAGGTCAAGCATAGGAGTTTATTGCACACAGCACTGGTGGAGTGTCACTTTGCTTATTAGGCTCAGTCACTGTCAATCAGTTGATTACAATAGAATATAGAGATTTTTCCATTGACAGGGTACGCAGTTCCACACCCCGGGACAGGTTTTGCAGCAAGACAAGATAGCACATTAGCCAATGGTTAAAAATTACATAATGTCTCCACTCATGGTCTCAAGTTAGCGATTTAACATTTAATACTTTGCTAAAATGTTAGTATAAAATGTGTTGAATTCTGATTTGGGGTCCCTAGGAATGGAGCAACTCCTTTGATTGTCCAATAGGTACATTCCTAGGGGTTAAAGCAAAGAAACAGTGGAAGTACATGACAATACCAATGTCTTAAGGCAGGGCATTGGTCTCAGGGCATCCTTCCACCTCCTTCCCAATCTTTATACTGACATGTACCAACTTTTTCATAAACTCAAGGTTGGATCTGTGGGAAGAACATTCCCTACAGAAGAGACTGACACAATAGGAACAAGGATCCTTTGTTCAATCTGAAACATTGGATGAAACATAATAATTATTCAGTTATTGCTTCAACATCTGGCATTTCTACTGACCAAGCATATCTTAGCAAAGGCAATGTTATCTTGTTTACCCCAGCTTTCTCTTAGCTGATCACTATTAGCTAGGCCTCTGGTCTCTTGACCATACTCTGTGCCAGCTCTTTTTCAGACCCAAAGTCCAATCTATATACCAGGTTGTTATATAAAATGCACATGGATTTTAACCCTTCAGGAGTTGAGCTGTTGGCAGTGTGAAATGTTGGAGGTGGTGTTCTGAGCTTCTTGGAATCTAACACCTGCCACCTGTAGCCAAAAGCAGTCTCCCAGCCATGACTCCCTCTGCAAACAGGCCAGTGCTGAAGGCTGAGTCACCAGTGACAACAGCCAGAGTTCTGAGAACAGATCTAACATCATGCCTATCCTAGATATCAAGACGTAAATTCCACCTTGAGGGGAGATACCCATGCTAAAAATAGTGTGGCTATGGGATGGGAGGGGCTCACTGCCTCACTATGTACCAAGGTATCACTGTGGGCAACTAGCACCTCACAGTACCCCACTAAACAATTTTATTTTCAAGTTGGCAAGATCAGACTAGTGCAGACAAGTCTCCACCAGCTGGAATTGACACCTTGTAAAGTCTAGTGTAGTATGGAGGCTATTGCTAATGAGAACAGCTACCAATGGACCAAACTCATCCCCGGTGTAACTTCAGTGGCCAGGCATTAGTCATAATCCTGGCCCTGGGGTGGTTCAGTAGCGCTTGGCTTGTTTATACAGTGGCCTAGCAAACATCACTTAAACAACCTCCTGCACACGCTCTGGATTGATCAGAAAACGCTGCTGCTTCCCACCCCTTACAGTGTGGGAAGGGACTCTGCAGCTGTGCTCTGACCGCTGTAGGTTGGAAAGTCATATTACAGTGAAAACTGCCACTGCAGGGGACAGAGCTGGCCCTAAGTGGGTGCATAGAGAGCAGGAGCACTGATGGCACCAATAGTATTGGGGTGAAGGATGCCAGCAGCTATGAGGTGTTGCTATTGGGGAGATGTGGAATAGAAAATAAGCCTGTGTGCCTTCTAAACATCTTCATAGGGCTGTGCTGCTGTGGGGAACACTATGGCCTTTGTCTACATTGAACAGTTTTGTGGATGACAAATCAGCTTTTGCTGATGTGTTCTTCCTGCCAATGTAACTCCCCTGCAATGGCAACATAATAAAACCACCTCGATGAGTGGCATAGTGCTTCTGTCAGTGTAGTTAGGGTGATGAAGTGACAGTGTAGATACTGTTCCTTACATCAGCTGACTGTCATTCTTGTCAATTTCATGGCTCCACTGAAGTCATGTAATTAACAAGAAAGCCAGTTTCCCCAGTCTGGCTGCTGCTAGGTCTCCACTCCAAGCCAGGCTGCCATCCTGGCTTGGGCTGCTACCTGGGCTCCCCATTGGGAGCCCTATGGCCCCCCCCCAGACTCCCTGCCAGGAGTGTGGCAGCCAGCTGGACTCCGTGTGGATCTCTCTTCTAGAAGTAAGAAGCCCCAGGCAGCCACTCTCCTAGCTGGGAGCACAGAGGTGAGAAGCCCTGGCTCTGTCCCCAATGTGGGCCCCTCTCCAGTTGGTAAAAGTGATCCTGGTGAGGACATGTACCACCAACAGGAGGAGGATAATGTGAACAGCGGCCACAGTGGTAATTAATGCAGTGGCTGTAAGTTGACCTAACATAGGTCCACTTAAGCTGTCTACACTACAATCTTAAGTTAGTGAAGCAGCAAATGTGGTGGTGTGTGCAAAGGGTGGAGTTCTTCCATAAACTAGGGCAATTGAGAAGACTGATTTGGCCCAAGAGGGGGAGGAGATAGCAGACACAAATCATGCAGTCTGCCAGGCAAAGGCATAACTAGATCCAAGGGCTGGGAGGGGAACTAACCAAATTCACACTGGGCAGACGCACTCTCTCTTACTGGGGTGAGTGAAGAATCATTGGTAAAGCTTAGCAAGGGCTGCTGTGGATCTGCTCTCATGTGGGGTCCTTACATCAAGACTAACACCACTGCCTTTGGCCTGGAGCTGATGAGGCTTTCACTACACAAGGCTGTTGCCCTTAGTCTCAACAGGCTGCCAAGTGTCTAGTCTACACTGGCAGTGCTTTAATGTGGCTTGTGTGTCATGGCACAGCACTGGGGGAGAGTTCTCCCAGTGCTCCAAATCACCTCCACAAGGTGTGAAGCTACCAGTGCTGGTGCACTGTCTACACTGGTGCTTTACAGCATTGAAACTTGCAGCACTCAAGGGGGTGGTTTTTTTTGTTTTTCCCCACACCCCTGAACAAGAAAGTTGCAGTGCTGTACAGTGCCAGTGTAGACAAGCCTTTAGAAGGGCGGATGTGCTCCAGTGAACCTAAAACTGGAGGTGGTTTTTATGCTGTTTCCCATTGCCCTGCTACCGGGGCATCTCGCTAACATGAGGGAAGATATCCTGACATACACAGGCACCGACTTTCCAAAGTGCTGGGGGATGCTTGATGCCATTCCACCCCTTCCCCCAAGGCCCCATCCCCACCCCTGCTTCACCCCCACCCTGCCTCTTCCTGCCCAGTTCCACCCCTTTCCCTGAGCATGCTGTATTCTCACACCTCCCTCCTGCAGGACAGCTGTTCATGGGAGGTGCAGGGTGGGAGGGGGAGGCACTGATCCATGGGGTGTGCTGGTGGGCAGGAGGCACTGGGTGCTTAGCCCCCACCATTTTTTTCCTGTGGGTGTTCCAGCCCCAGAGCACCCACAGAGTCGGTGCCTCTGCTGACACAAGTTGTGGGGAAGAAATTTTATCCCTAGCTTACAGCTGTGGAAACTGAGGCATAGAGAGGCTGTGACATGGTTGTGGTCACCCAAGAATATGGTGGCAGAACCAGGAATTTAACCATCAGCTGGTGAGTCCAAAGCCAGTGCTTCAACCACAAGAACACCTAACTACCCTGCTGAAGGTCATGAGCAGGGTTCTGTGCACACACTGCCCTCAAAAGAGCAGAGCTGGCTCTATCCCCTGACCGTATTCCTGACAGCCCCTCTGTTCTCCCAGCCTTTCCATACCCGGTGCTGCCGAGATACTGACTGCTCAGGTTTCAGAGTAGCAGCTGTGTTAGTCTGTATCCGCAAAAAGAACAGGAGTACTTGTGGCACCTTAGAGACTAATACATTTATTTGAGCATAAGCTTTTGTGGGCTACAGCCCACTGCTCAGCTGCCTCCAGGACAACTTTAACCTTCCCACCATTCCTTACGCTTTCTACAAGCCCTATGTTCCACTCTAGACAGCTCCCAGCCCCTGACATCCCTCCACTCTGCCTCCTAAACATGACTGCATTTATCTACCCAAAACTGAAGTTAAGGGGGTGTGTGTGTAATCATCTCCATCTCACACAGGGGAACTAAGGCATGGTGACAAAGGGCCAAAATTAGTGGCCACCTACCTAAAGTCCCATGTAAGTGATTTTGGAGAAAAAAAAGAAGCAAAATTTGGTTTTAAAGAGAAATTTAGCTGTGGCCTTCATGAAACTGGCCACAGCGAAATTCCATCATGTGGAACCATAAAATGCCCAATAGTGATCGGCATCCACTTTAATGCAGGCCCTTTAGAACCAGCCCATGGCCCTCTGCCCAATCAGCTAATCTGCTGTGTAAGTGGCTGTTCAATGGTTTGTTAGACAGCAGTAGATTCAGGCTGCCTGGGTTCTGTGCCTGTGTCGGGAATGGAAGTGTTCTCTAGTGGTTAGAGCTGTGGCTACTGACAGAACAACCAACCACATGCTTCAGATGTTCGCTTCAACAGACAGCCTGGCTCAGTGGATGACACTCAGGTCTGCCATATTAATGACCTAGATATTAATGTGACCTTTTCCAAGAGGACCATTATGCGGCCTCTTGGTGACCTTACCTGTAAAATAGGGGAGAATGAGACCTGTCTTCCCTAGTGCATGCAGAGGAAGCTACAGTCAAGTGTAAATACACATAAATATGAACAGCCATCACTGGAAGCAACAACTCTTGAATTTACAGTCTCCTGGGCCCAGTTCTTCCAAGGTATTTAGGCTCCTAACTTCCATTGAGCCTAACTACCTTTGAGGAGTTGGGTCATGGTTCCCAGCCCCGTGCACTGTCCCCTAGTTGAAAGAGGAGTCCTGGGTTTATCTGTGTATACGGGCACGGCCTGCGGGGCTCACAGAAAACCCC